AGGACGTGAACCGCGGTCGACTACGTGGGAGTCCAGCAACATAGCCATTACGCTAACTGCTGGTTCCCTAAATATATTTTTTAATTTCAAAAAAAGCAGTTTTAGCTTCAATAAATCAAAGAAATGCTAAGGAACTTTGCTTACAACATAAAGCCAGGAAATGAGATAGGATTCTGTTCAAATAATAGGTACATGAACCTATCAGCAGTTCAAGAGAGGACAAAAATCCTTAAAACCTGAAAATAAAGCCTAGAAGAAAATCAGCAATGTTTTAGTCAAAAGTCATAAAATTCTGTTTCACCAGGTGAGTCTCATGTACTTAATCTTAAATCTTCTGTTGTGGTTCAATCTTCCCAATTAAGCTCTGGCATATAATATTTGACTCCAGACTTGTCCCTACGATTAAGTTGGCCATTTTCTTAATTTTTGAACTCTTCTTTCTCTGTGACTGTATTTAAATTTCCTGGTATAGCACTACCTTGAGACCTTCTTGGAGATCTGGTCTGGTGCTGGTAAATTCTTTCAGGTTTTATTTATCTGAGAATGTTCTTGTCTTCTCTTCCCATATGAAGGGTAATCTAGCAGATATAATATTCTTTACTGAAATTGTTTTTCACTCAACACTTTGAATGTATTCTCCCATTCTTTCCTTTCTCGCATCGTTTCTGATGAGAGGTCTGCTGTTAGCCTGATGGGATATCCCTTTGTAGATAACTTATGTTTTTCTCTCTTGCCAATCTTAGTATCTTGTCTTTGTCTGTGGTTTTGGTCATTCTGGCCGTAGTGTGTCTTGGAGAATATCTTCTCGGGTTGATCCTATTTGGGGTCCTCTGTATTTCCTGGGTCAGAATCTTGGAATGCCTCTCTAGGTTTGGAAAGTTTTCTTCCAGGATTTCATAGAATAGATTACCAATGCCCTTATGAGTCTCTCCACCTTCTGGGATACCAATTATCTGGATGTTTAGATGTTTGATGGTATCTAGTATTTCTTGTATATTATTCTCATTTTGGGGGGCCGTTTTCTTAGTCTTCATGTAGATTTCTCTAGGCTAGTGATCCTATCTTCTACATCTGAGATTTGATTTTCTGTATGATCTAGTCTGCTTTTAATACTTTCGAGGGAGATTTTGACTTCCTGTATTATTGCCTTCATCTCTAACAGGTTCATTTGATTCTTTTTTAGAATGTGTATTTCCTCTTTTAGGTCATACAAGAATTTACTCACCTTCTGGAACTCATCACCTCTTTTCTCCTGCCTCCTCTGCAGTTCATTGTCTCTCTTCTCTTCCATTTCCATTAGCTTTGTCACTATGAATATTCTAGATTATTTATCTGACAATTCCATGAGTTTCACTATACTGTCTGAGGATGAAAAGTTATCATTTTACCATGGAGAAGAGGTATTTTCTTGCTTTTATCCTTTTACCATGGAGAAGAGGTATTTTCTTGCTTTTCCATATTTCTTGTGACCCTGTGGTGATTTCTAGTCATCTGATGGATGGTGCATTTCTTCCTAATTCTTGAAGTTCAATCTGAGCGTTCAGAGGCATACAGGAAGAGGTAATCTACATCTTTCTTCTGTTCCATTTCACTCTTTGTGCAGCAGATTCAGTGGGAATAGAGGAATATATAGAAGAATATTCTGACCCTAATTGTTTTCAGCTGTCTGGATCCTGTTAACTTGGACCTGTCTAGACACTTAATGTGTAAAGGCTGAGCAGCCAATGAATAAAGATAAAGAAAAAAGGAAAAAAATTAGAGAAGAGGAAAGAAGAAGAAAAAATAAAAGAAAAAAGATAATAAAAAACTTTAGATTTTAATTTTAAAAAGCAAAAAATGAAAACTACAAGACAGAGAGAAATGGAGAGGAGACAAAGTTAGCCCTACCCACTATAAATTAATCCGGAGGGAGAAGTCACAACAGAAATCCTTTATTTTTAGTCAAGGAAAGCAATATTTCAAAACTCAAATGAAATATCCATCTCCCAGTGTGATATTTCAATGCATAAATATAATGTGTAATAATCAAATCAGTGATTAGCATGTCTATCTCTCCAAACATTTATACTTTGTGTTGAAAACATGTAAAATTCTTTCTTCTAGCTACTTAAAAGCGTATTGTATAATATTGTTAACTATGGTCATCATAGTGTAGTATAGAAAATGAAAATTTATTCCTTGTGTCTAATTTTGTATTTATTAACCAATATCTTCTTGGTCCCTTCTCTCCCTATGCTTTCCAGCTTCTGGTAACCACTATTTTACTCTCTTCTATGATGTATGATTTTTTAGCTCCCACAAACAAGTGAGAACATGTAGTACTTGTTTTTCTGTGCCTGACTTATTTCACTAAGCATAATGTCCTCAAGGTTCACCCATGTTGCTGTGAATGTTTCATCTTTTTAACGACAGAATGATATTTCTTTGTGTATATATACTACATTTTCATTATTTTTCTGGTGAGGAACATGTCCATGGTCTGGCTATGCAAATAGTGCTATAATCAATGTGGGATGCAGGTATCTCTTCAACACACTGATTTCTTTTCTTTTGGATACATTCCCAATTGTGGAATTACTGGATCATATGGTAGTTCTATTTTTGATATTTTGAGGAATTTTCATACTGTTTTCTGTAATGAATGTACTATTTCGCTCCCATTCAACAGTGTAAAGGAGTTCTCCTTTCCCACATCTTCTCCAGCATTGTTTATTTATTTATTATCGATAGTAGTCAGTCATTCTAACTGAGGTGAGGTAATATCTCATTGTGGTTTGATTTGCAGTTTTCTAACTATTAGTAATGTTGAGCACTTAAAAATATACTTTTTAAATTCACCATATGTATATATTCTTTAGAGAAATATCTATTCAGATTAATTGCACATTTTAAAATTGGATTATTTGTTTATCTTCTGGTTGATTTTTCTTTGTATATTCTGGTTATTAATCCCCTGTCAGATTGATAGCATGCAAATATTTTCTCCTATTCTGGAGGTTATCGTTTTACTTTCTTAGTTGTTTCTTTTGCTGTGCAGAAAGTTTTTAGTTTGATATAATCCTATTTGCCTATTTTTGCTTTAGTTTCCTCTGCTTTTGAAGTCTTGCCTAAAAAAATCCTTTTCCAGACCAATATCCTGAAGCATTACTCCTGTGT